AATTGGAAAATTTCAGTTATTATTTCTTAGTATCTTTTTTCTGACCTCCCTTCTCACTCCCTCTGTCTCTTTCTTTTTCCCCCTTTGGAGTCTGATTGCCTCGTAGCTCACTAATGCTCTGGCCATTTTTTTTTCAGTCTTTATTCTTTCCATGTTTCATTTTGGATAGTTTCTATTGCTCTGTCTTAGACTTCACTAATTTTTTTCAATGTCTAATGTGTTGTTATTAATCTGAAATATTTTAATTTTTATCTTTACAAGTTCAATTTGGGCTTCTTATTTTTATTTATTTATTTTTGAGACAGGGTCTAACTTTGTCACCCAGGCTGGAGTGCAGTAGCCCAGTCTTGGCTCACTGCAGCCTTGACTTCCCAGGCTCAAGCGATTCTCCCACCTCATCCCCAAATAGCTGAGACTATGGGTGCATACCACCATGCCCAACTAATTTCTTATTTATTTATTTTTTTATTATACTTTATGTTCTAGCATACATGTGCACAATGTGCAGGTTTGTTACATATGTATACATGTGCCATGTTGGTGTGCTGCACCCATTAACTCGTCATTTACATTAGGTATATCTCCTAATGCTATCCCTCCTCCCTTCTTCCTGCCCTCAACAGGCCCCAGTGTGTGAGGTTCCCCTTCCTGTGTCCAAGTGATCTCATTGTTCAGTTCCCATCTATGAGTGAGAACATGTGGTGTTTGGTTTTCTGTTCTTGTGATAGTTTGCTGAGAATGATGGTTTCCAGCTGCATCCATATCCCTACAAAGGACACGAACTCATCCTTTTTAATGGCTGCATGGTATTCCATGGTGTATATGTGCCACATTTTCTGTAAAAAATTCTTTTTGTACAGATGGGATCTTTTCTTATGGGATTTTTTCTGAAAAAATTTTTTTGTACAGATGGGATCTTCCGATGTTCCCCAGGCTGGTCTCGAACTCCTAGACTCAAGTGATCTACCCACCTCAGCCTCCCAAAGTGCTGGGATTAGAAGCATGAGCCACGACAGTCAGTCCATTTGGTAATTTAAAAATATCTTTGATGTTTTTACTTAACATGCTCAATCTTTCCTTTACCTTCTTGAACATATGAATATAGCTTTAATAACCACTTAAATGTCTTTGTCTACTAATTCTATCATCCATGTCATTTCTAGATTAGTTCTCATTGATTTTTCTCTTCATTATGAATTGTATTTTCTTGCTTATTTGTGTGTCTTATAATGTTTTATTGAATTCCAAATACTATGTATTTTACCTTGTTGGGTGCTGAATACTTCTGTATTCTTATTAATATTCTTGAGTGTTGTTCTGTGATGTAGTTAAGTTACTTGAAAACTGTTTGGTCCCTCTGAGGCTTGCTTTGTTCGGCATGACCAGAATTCTTTGGTGTATGGTTAATATTGCCCACTACTACAGCAACGTCTTTCTGAATATTCTACCTGATGACCTGTTAATGATGAGGTTTTCTACTGTGGCTAGTAGGGTGAACGCTGAAGATTTTTCCCTGTACTTTTTTCAGGTGTAATTTTTCTTAGCCTTTGGTAGTTTCCTCACGTGAATGTGCAGATCAGCCTTCAGCTGCAGACCTTCCGCAGATCCCTGGAGCTCTTTCTCTGTGCTGCTCTCTCAGCTCAGTTGCTCTCCCGGGTGAACTCTAGCTGACTTGGCCTCCTCAGATTCCCAGCATGATCTCCGGAACTGAGGGAGACTTTTGGGCTCTGCCTGCGTTCCTCCTTCCTGTGGCGAAGCCTGGAAACCCTTTCCTATCACAGACTGCGAAAATCATAGAACACACCTTGCTTGTTTCCTGAGTTCACTGCCTGTGCTGTCTGATGCCTGATGTCTGAAAGCTGTTGTTTCTTATGTTGTGTCTGGAGTTTTAATTGATCCCTGTTACTCCATGTTGATCAGAATTAGAAGTCCTGATGCTATTTTATTTAATTTTTTATTTTTATATATTTAGGGGGTAGAAGTACAGCTTTATTACATGCATATATTACATAAGTAAAAAAATCTGGGCTTTTAGTGTACCTATCACATTGTACCTAATAAAGAATTTTTCAGACCTCACCCTCTGATCTGGTTTGGCTCTGTGTCCCCACCCAAATCTCATCTTGAACTGTAATCCCCATGTATTCAGGGAGGAACCTGGTGGCAGGTGATTGGATCATGGGGGCAGTTTCCCCCATGCTGTTCTCATAGTAGTGAGTGAGTCCTCATGAGATCTGATAGTGTTATAAGTGTTTGGCAGGTTCCTTCTTCACTCACACGCTCTCCCTCTCACCTGCCACCACGTAAGTCATGCCTACTTCCCCTTCCGTCATGATTGTAAGTATCCTGAGGCCTCCTCAGTCATGTGGAACTGTAAGTCAGTTAAATCTCTTTCCTTTATAAATTACTCAGTCTCAGGAAGTTCTTTATAGAAGTGTGAAAATGAACTAATACACCCACCTCCCACCCTCCCACCTTTTGTAGTCTCCAATGTCTGCTCTTCTACTCTGTATGTCCATGTGTACTCATTGTTTAGGTCCCACTTACAAGTGAGAACATGTGGTATTTGACTTCTTGTTTCTGAGTTATTTCGCTTAGGATAATGACCTCTAATTCCATCCATGTCGCTGCAAAAGACATGATTTCCTTCTTTTTTTATGGTTGAGTAGTATTCCATGGTGCGTGTGTGTGTGTGTGTGTATGTGTGTATAACATTTTCCTTACTTGATGCTATTTTAAATGGTATTAAAGTTTTTTAAAAATTCCAATTATTTATTCATAGTCTATGGAGAAATATTTTATTTTTGATATTTGACCTTGTATTTGGTAACCTGGTTACATTCACATATTAGTTTTCACTTAAATTTTTTCTTTTGGGACAGGGTCTCACTCTGTTTCCTGGGCTGGAGTACAGTAACACAGCTTTGGCTCACTGCAGCCTCTGACCTCCAGGCTCAGATGATCCTCCCACCTTGGGCTCCCAAGTAACTGGGACAACAGGTGTGTGTCCCCATGCCCAGCTAATTTTTTTGTGTTCTTTTGTAAAGACAGGGTTTCACCATGTTGTCCAGACTGGTCTTGAATTCATGGGCTCAGGCAATCTGCCTGCCTTGACTTCCCAAAGTGCTGGAGTTACAGGTGTGGGCCACTGTGCCCGACCAAAAATATTCATTTTCTAAATTTATATTTAATTTTCTTTTTTTTTTCGAGATGGCGTCTTGCTGTGTCACCCAGGCTGGAGTGCAGTGGCATGATCATGGTTCACTGCAGCCTTAACTTCCTGGGCTCAAACAATCACCCTACCTCAGTCTCTCAAGTAGCTAGGAATACAGATGTGCACTACCATGACCAACTAATTTTTTATTTTTTATTTTTATTATTTTATTTTATTTTTTATTATTATTATTTTATTTTTATTATTATTATTTTTTAAGACAGAGTCTCACTCTGTCACCCAGGCTGGAGTGCAGTGGTGCAATCTCGGCTCACTGCAAGCTCTGCCTCCTGGGTTCACGCCATTCTCCTGCCTCAGCCTCCCGAGTAGCTGGGAGTGCCCACCACCGTGCCTGGCTAATTTTTTGTATTTTTGGTAGAGATGGGGTTTTGCCATGTTAGCCAGGATGGTCTCGATCTCCTGACCTCATGATCCACCCGCCTCGGCCTCCCAAAGTGCTGGGATTACAGGCGTGAGCCACCGTGCCCGGACTATTTTTTTATTTTTTGTAGAGACAGGGTCTCACTATGTTGCTCAGGCCAGTCTTGAACTTTTGGGCTAAAGTGATCCTCCCACCTCAGCCTCCTAACGTGCTGGGATTACAGGTGTGAGCCACCACGCCTGGCATTTTCACAATTTTTTGTGGTAGATTCCTTAGGAGTGTCCATGGGCACAATCACGCTATCTGTGACTACAGAACATTTTGCTTCTTCTTTTACAACTTGTATTATCTCCTTTACTCTCTTCTGTGCTGGAAATGCTATACATTGTTGAATAGAAGCTGAAAGAGCAGCTATCTTTTTGCCTTCTTGATCTTGGGAGGGAAAACATTCATTCTTTCACCATGAAGTATGATGTAAGCACTAAGTTGCTTTTTTTACCTTTTTCTGAGACAGAGCCTTGCTCTGTTACCCAGGCTGGAGTGCAGTGGCGTGAATGTGGCTCACTGCAGCCTCAACTTTCTGGGCTCAAGGGATCCTCTTGTCTCAGCTTCCTGAGAAGCTGGGCCTATAGGAGTGCATCACCAGGCCCAGCTAATTTTTTATTTTTTGTAGGGCTGGGGTGTCATTATGCTGCCCAGGCAAAGCACTGTAGATGTGATTTATTTATTTATTTATGTATTTATTTTTATAGAGACGGAGTCTCGCTACGTTGCCCAGGCTGGTCTCGAACTCCTAGGCTCAAGTGGCCTCCCGAAGTGCAGGGATTACAGGCATGAGCCACTGTGCCCAGCCTGTAGATGTCTTTATTGGGTTCAAGAAGACTATGTGGTGGGTAATGCAAGTATATTTTTGAAAGAAGGGGATAAGTTGAGAGTTCTTGGACTTAATTTTCTCAGTGAAGCAGGAGGCCAGGCTATCTGATGAGGGGATGGGGAGAATGAGGTGGATTTCTAATAGTCCTTCATGAACCTCTGAAAACACAAATCTATGGCAGAGTGTACAGTTTTCTGTACCAGGACTCGGAGCTCCAGGTTTAGGACCAGGGTGGGCAGCTGTAGAACTGGGTTCTGTAGGGTTTTCCAGGACTTATGAGTGGAGGGAAAAGGGAGCATCGGTATTGAGGGAGCTGGCGGGAAATAATTCAAGTTGTTGGCCAGAGGTCTAGCTTGGGTTTTAAAAGACTGAAGTCTGGGGATTGAGGGGAAGGGAAAGATAAACTGTGAGGCCACAAGGGGTTAAAGGGCTGGAACTCAGTGAGGCCAAGGAGTGGTGAAGTGGGAGGAACAGAATAGAGTTGGGAGGATTGTGGTTCAAGTGGGATGTTGAAGTTTCATGCTTTTCCACATCACAAGGGTAATGTGCCAATGTTGTAACAAGGTTTGAGGGAGGCACATCTTACGCATGAAAGTGAAAATCCAGTCATCACACTTATGAACTACGAAAGGATCCAAAGTTTTTTTTTGAGAGGCAATGGAGCTATGGTAGTAATGGTCTAATTGTGGCCTTGAAAAGTATAAGTAGAGCAGAAGGTTATTTGAAATGATTAGGAAAGTTAGGGGAAGGTTAGGGTGTGGGATGGATTGGGTTCGGCAGTTTGTCTCAGGATGATGGTGGAGGTTAATGTGTAAGGTAAATGGGGGAGTCCTCAGCTGCTGTGAGCCAGGGTCAGTGACAGCCAGAAGAAGTACAGGGCAATGAACCATTTGGTATGAGGGGGACTTTGACAAAGGTAGAAAAGTCATCATGTAGAACTGGCAGGGGAAGCTGGGAGACTGCTGACCCCAAGTGCCCCCTTCTTGGCTGGAAAATAGAACTCGCGGGAGGAAGAGCAGCTTTCCCTTAAGAGGGCTGCAAGGGAACCAGTGTTCTTGGGGCAAGGCCAGGCTTCCGTTACGGTAAGGAGGAGGAAGGTATAGTGAAAGTTCTTGCAGATTGTTATGGATATAGAAGAATTTGTTTTTAGTGGAATGAAGTTACCAAGAACACAGAAGGAAAACTGACAGGAAGATGGCTAGGAGAAAGGTGATGTCCGAGTGAAAGTGAAAGTCCCAGTGAAAAGACTTAAAGTGTGGAGACTGTTTCATCCATGTATCACAGTATCAGCCACATAGTAGGTGCTCATTTAATACAGCCAAGTGGAGGGCTGAATACAGTCCGTTTCTTGTGGCTTCTTACTTTGATTCTCTGAGACTTCATTTTTCCATGTTTCCTGGGGAATGCTGCTGCTTTTATCCCCCTAGTTCTGAAATTTATAGCAGTTTTCTCTCCAAAGTCCCAATTCTTTCCATCTGGCAGAGTCGATGCCTTATTATTCTATGGTGTAACACCCTAGGAGGGCCTGGAAAGCCAGAGGTGAAATCTCTCTCTGGTTACAACTTGGGAGAAGCTGAAGTTCAGAAAAAGCAAAGAGTTCGTTCAACAGAATAGATTAAGATTTACCATAGACTGTGAAAGAAATAAAGATGCTTCCCTCAGTCAAAGTTTGAGGCTACCAGCCTGTACTGTGGCCCCCAAACCAGCCCCAGCGGGGCGGCGTGTGGGACTCAGGGAGAGCAATAGTCCAGGGCGGGCTGTGGACAGTTAGGCTGTGTGCAAGGCAGCCTCCAGCAGGTGGGGCTGTGGAGTCGCAGAAGGCTGGCCGCCTTGAGCGGAATGCGGCGCTGCTGCCACCGTCTGATTTGGATGGAATCATCCTTGCGGTATGTGGAGTCAAGCTCGGGAGATTGCTACCTTCTCACGGAGAGCCAAGCTTGGGAGATTGACTTTGCTACTTCCTCATTCTCCACCATTACTGCAGAGCCCTATTGCCTCGGGGGAGGAGAAGGTCTTGATGGGGTATGTCATCTAATGGAACGTTCACAGGGTTTATGAGTTTTAAGTCCCAGAGCACTCACATTCTAGCTGTGGGCACACAGGCCACTTGCTGGACCTCTGAGACTGAGTGATAATGGAAATATATGTGAAAGCCTTGATAGAGTGAAGACTAAAAATATAAGGATTTATTATTAATGCTTAATGGGTAGTTAAGAGCAAAAATATGTTCCTTGATCTATTCTAGGGAAGACGAACTCTGGGGAAGCTATGGGCTGAAGATTTTCCTATTCGCAGAAGAATCGGTCCTTCTGACTATATGTTTTCACTTCTGTAAGGTCACATAGTGGGGTGAGGGGTAAGAATGCCAATTTGCCACAGAACATTCTAGGGAGGTTGTAAGCCCTCAGAAAACAGAATTCATAACACTAATAGTAATAAACTACCATCTATATGACTACTATATACCAGGCACATTACCTATGTTATTCAATTTAATCATCATAACAGTACAATAGGATAGATGTATTTATCTATTGTAACTAGAAATTGAACACCAGCATCTGAGAGATATGAATAGCAGAGGGTTACAGAGATAATAAGCAGTGATGGCAGGATGTGAACCCAGGCCTTTTTGGCTGTAATGGCTTATGTCTTTCCCACCATAACGTGTGAACTCATCCTTTATTAAATCTCTAAGCCATTTCCAAGGACCTGTCTTAAGCTGATTGCTTAAAAATCGCTCAAGGAACTTGTTAAAATGCATATTCTTGAACCCCACCCTGGGGGAGCCTCATGAATGATTTAGATTTTTCCTTTTCTCTCTCTCTTTTCATGCCATATTCCCTTCCATTACTTTAGTTGTTGAACAGTCACAGTAATCAGGACTTCCGTTTTTTGAACGCCTTGTGCCTTACGCCTTTCCTTGAAAACAATGGCAAATGCAAACTCATTTTGTCAAGCCAAGGATCCCTGAGTTTCCCCACCAGAGGATTATACAATCAGCAACTCCTTTTTGTTTCAATAACACATTTTTATCTCCCTTATTTTGCTGGGGGTGCAGGAGTTATGTTTGGACACAGATAGTTCACTACTAGGGAGAAGCTTCTACTTGGGGAGGACTTAGCCCTGGAAGGGAGATAGGAGCAGAAACCAAGTGGATTCCTGGGGTTTTATTCACCTAGATCAATCAACAAGTATTTATTGAATACTCTGTGCCAGACACTAGGCCAGGTATTGGTGCTGGAGCAATGCATACAATAAAGTCCCTACAGTCATGGAGTTTTAGGTAGGTAGAGTGGGTATTCGTTCAGAGATTCAAATGAAGTGGCAAAGCAAACCATGAACTTCTGGGGAGAAGCATACCTGGCAGAGGGAATAGCAAGTGCAAAGACTCCAAGCAGGAGTCTCCTGGGAGTGTCTGAGGAACAGCAAGAAGGCTAAGGTCCAGCAGAAAGGCAAGAGTGGAGCGTGCAAGGAGCAGCAAGGTAGGAGGTGGGAGGGGAGAGGTGCCACTGGTTGTATCAAGACCTTCCAGGCCACTGGGAGGATTTTGGGTTTTGTTCCAAGTGAGACAAGGAGCCACTGGAGGGTTTTCTATAGGAAAGTGACACGATCCAATTTACATTTTAAAAGGATGACACCAGGTGCTGGGTTGAACATAGACTTCAGGGGGCAAGGGTGCGTGCTACCTGAATACCAAGGCAGCTCTATCTTCTGCATCTCTTGAACAGTTTTGGCAGATTCTATTCCTCATCTCTCCACCATGGTCAACAGGCATTAGTCCATTTTGCATTGCTATAAAGGAATACCTGAGACTAGGTAATTTATAAAGAAAACAGGTTTATGTGGCTCGTGATTCTGCAGGCTGTACAAGCATGGTGCTGGCATCTGCTTGGCTTCTGGTGAGGCCTCAGGAAGCTTTTACTTGCGGCAGAAGGCATGTCACATGGTGAGAGAGGGAGCAAGAGAGAGACGCCATGCTCTTTTTAAACAACCAGCTCTCATGTGAACTAATAAAGTGAGAACTCACTTATTACCATGAGGACAGCATTAAGCCATTGGCCAGGGATCCACCCCCATGACCCAGACATCTCCACCATGCACCACCTCCAACATCGGGGACCACATTTCTACATGAGATTTGGAGGGGACACACATCCAAACCATGTCAGAGGTCAAGCGTTGCCCGTCCATCAGTCCTCTCTGCTCCTTTTATTCACTCTCAATCATAGCACCATGTTTCTCAAAAGTTGCAAATTGGTTGCAGTAGTGGATTTGATAATTGTGAGAATGTTGGCCAGAATTAGTTATGTCTGAATACCAGACCAGCCAAGCCAAAATGCCACCATTATACTAGAATAAAGCAATTTCTACTTTACGGACAAAGTGGCAGAGCCATAACTCATTTACTCACTGACTCCTTCACTCTCTTTCAGCTCTCATTGAGCATGTACCATATGCACAAGGCACTGCATTAAGCCACTGGAGAACTAGATATTTTTGAAAAGCTCCCTAAGACATAAACTCTGCCCTTGAGCAAACTCTTAAACTAGTTACTAGCATTTATCAATCACTTTTGACGGGTCAGACACTGGTTTAAGTGCTTTTTATGTATTGCCATTTTTAATCCTCAAAATTAATGTGATTAGTTAGGTACTATTTTAGTATTTTTTTTTTTGAGATGGAGTCTTGCTCTGTTGCCCAGGCTGGAGTGCAGTGGTGCGATCTTGTCTCACTGCAAGCTCTGCCTCCCAGGTTCACACCATTCTCCTACCTCAGCCTCCCGAGTAGCTGGGACTACAGGCACCTGCCACCACGCCCAGCTAAGTTTTTGTATTTTTAGTAGAGATGGGGTTTCATTGTGTTAGCCAGGATGGTCTCGATCTCCTGACCTCATGATCCGCCTGCCTTGGCCTCCCAAAGTGCTGAGATTACAGGCGTGAGCCACTGTGCCTGGCCTATGTTACTATTTTAAAGATGAGGAAATCAAGGCACCCAGAGGTTAAGCAACCTGTTCAAGTTGGTTATTAGGTGAACTGAGATCTGAGCCCAGATGATGTAGCTCTCGGATGTAGATGACTGCTTCTTAGGCTGGAGGGATAGCTAAACACATGATTATAATGCAACGTGATGAGTACCCACTAGAGCTACTGGGAAATTTTAACATTCTTGAGGGGCAAGGCCCAAAGCCTTTTCAAATTTCCAATCCTGTTAATTCCACTGTAGTATAGTATATAACTTCTCCCCATAAAATGCTGTGAAGTACAACTAAGATTTTTAAGTGATCCTTCCAGATTCTTAATAAAAGATTAAAGTAATTTATAAAGCTATTTTCTGGCTAAGGACCATTCCATTTTTGGACTGTTTCACTCACTCATCATTTCCATCACCAGATGATAGTTTTTTTGTTGTTGTTGGCGGAGAGGTGGGGGTGGGGGTGGGGCAGTCCATTCTTCATAAAAGAGAAAATAAAATTTGTTTTTGTTAAGTAGATGCCAACCAAGTTGGTTTGGGTTATGAAGTCTTGGGGGTGGGTTGGGGCTTGTCTTACTCACTATTTCATCTTCTCCCTCTCTGTAGGGACTTCATAGCTGGCTGGAATCAAATTTATGCCTCAGTAAAATGACAAATCAG